TCCCAATAATCTTTCTTTTTTTTTTAAAATACCATCTAACAGCAAAACTAAGCAGTACATTGAAAACAACATATATTCCTGATTTTCCAATGGTTTTATATTGCATTAAATTGTTCTTTCTGGAACTATATTTTTAAGGTGTGCTTCTGAGTGGCAGGGGGACCAGACAGCAAGACAGAAGGTTATTGAAGTGATGAATGAGGCTGAAAAAAAATTATCTGAATTCTCAGTAGCTAAGGCTGCTTCTTCTCATGAAGCAGAAGAGAAATTGCTAACACATAAGGTAAGGTACTGAAAATTATACGAAATCCTTTTCCTTCAGTGAAAATAAATGCATGTTTTATAGGTCCCTACCTGTGGCAACCTGAATTTGAGCCTTTAGATCTTTTTCTGTAGCACTTAACTGTGTCATTGCACACCAAGAGGTGTTTTGTGTTGTGCAGAACACACATTTTATTTGTGGGGTGACTGGGACAGATATTTTTAATCACTTTTCAGCTTAACGTCTGTCTATGTGCCTAGGACTGTACAGAACCGTAAGGAACAAGGAGGTTCCTAAAAGCCTTGGGTGCGTAAGTCCTGAAATTGTGTACCCTACAAGAAATTCAGATCAATAGAAACGTCCATCTACTTTGGATCACATGAAGGAGTTTTACTAGGACAGGAAGGGTTGGGGTTTAATATTAGCTCTTGTTTAGCCGAAAGGAAAGAAATGCAACTTAAAACAATTACTTTCTCCTCTAGTATTCAGGGTGCTAATCAGTTGCCTTAATATTGCCAGACCTGCCTGGTCTCCAGCTATGTCACTGTGAAGGCAGGAATCTCCCCTAACAGTAATGTCACATCTGCCAGCTTCATGAGAATATCCTGATACCCTTGGACATCTAAAATAGCATTAGAGATAAACATGACATAAATACTTAAAAACCTGAATTGCTTCTTTCATTTTTTGACTCTAATAGAAGTCAGTCTTTGCTATGAGAAAGGTCCTGAGTACTCATTTCCATCCCTTTTGAGGGGGCTAGCAAGGAAGAGAAAATCTGATTACACCAGATTTCTGCTGCTTCCAGAGAGCTGCATTTTGGACCACGTCCTTCAAGTAGCTGTTGCTAATATATTGCATATGAAAAATAAAGTGAGACCTAACCACCTCACTCAGCATGGGGTGCCTCCTCTTTGTCTTCAGTGGATGGAAGTGGCTCATCTGCCTGCAGGTGTGTTGAATAGTTACGAGCTGTGTTGTAAAAGAGGAAAACTGCTTATTTTTGCTTTTTCAGACTCTTGTGTCTGTAGTGAATTCTTTCCATGAGAAGATCACAGCCCTAGAAGAAAAGGCTTCACAGCTGGAAAAAGTTAGCAATGATGCCAGTAAGGCAACTATAAGTAGATCCATGACAACAGTTTGGCAGCGCTGGACACGGCTCCGGAATGTAGCCCAAGAACAAGAGAAAATTTTGGAAGATGCAGTGCAGGAATGGAAGGGCTTTAATGATAAGGTAACTTCTGGTCTTGGTAAATCCTCCTTTGTTAACTGTACATAAGTTTTCACTCATTATACTACCTTGTTTATCATCTCATGGTAGAGAAAGCTGATAGCAGGAATGACTGATTTTTCTCAGGTTATAGACGAAAACAGCTATGGAAGACCTAGGTTTAAAGCCACTGCCTCCAAGGCTTGCACTATTCTTCTATATGCATGCATGTATAGTAAATACAGAGTTGTTTTGGTTATGGGTGGTTCTTCATAATCTTCTCCTATGTTTCCCTTCCCCAAGATGGTCTATTCTAGATTAAATCAACCTCTTTTTCCTTTCACCCCCCCCAACTTTCTCCCACCCCCTTTCTCCCCCCCTTTCCTCTCTCCCTTGCCCCTC